GTCACTCCACGCTCATTCAAGAGGTTTTTCACGCCTAGGTCTATGCTAGGTAGCGGCAATAACAACAATGCCAGCGCAGTCAGGACCAACCGCCAGGCACTCAAAACACTTAGCTCGCCCGCTGTCAACCGCCTGGGTCCAGCCTTTACGAAGACTTTGAAGGCTATTGAACACAGATCCGAATCCACCGAACTCATACGGACCCCCAGCAAGAGACGGAAGCTCTCCTTTTCATCAATTGGCTCGCCTCTTCAGTCCTCACCTCTTAAAGAAGTCCATGTCAGGGAGTCGGTCAAATATGACCAAGAGCTAGCCGCCCCAGTCCGGAAGTTCGAGTTGAATGTGAGCAGCATACCGGAGCATGAGCCCAAGCTCACCACCTTCGCCTCTAAACCTCCTCGACAAGTTCCTCCGGTTCGTCGCTCACAGGCTTTGCAAACATCGGGGGCGATATACATGCGAAGTATTTTGGGGAACCGCGCAAATCGAGTTACGATGCGAGCAAACTCCGGAGCTGGTAGAGTACCCCCGCTATCATATACTGGGCGCTTGTTCTAACTCTCTTCAAGGCTGGCAGGATTTGACCTCGGATTTCTACTCCCGCTCAAGTGACAGCCACAATTGCGCTAGTGTTGCTGGCGATCGCTATGTCCTTCCGTTTTGCACGGCGACATGCAACAGTAAGGTCACCCGGATGTGCATAAGTATCGAGCTATGTTTACTGACTGATTTGCAGCAAATAGTCTTGTTGCTGTGGGTGACGAGGAGGGTGGGATCAGATTGATGGATTCTGCCAAAGGCGATAAGAACGGATTCTCGCAAGCGTACCTTACCTTCCGTCCGCATATGAATTCGATTATGGACTTGGAGTTCTCATCCGATGATTTACTGCTCGCAACGGCTTCGGGCGACCAGACTGCGCTAGTCATCGACATGACCACCCAAACGCCGATCTACTGTCTCTCGAATCACGTCTCTTCCGTCAAGCGAGTCCAATTTCAACCGGCGGCCAACAACAAGGTTCTGGCAACTTGCAGTAGAGACGGCAATGTTAACATCTGGGATCTGCGATGCAAAGGGTTTGACAAGCCCTGCTTACAAGTACAGTGCTCGCTTGAATCCGAGTCAGAACCATCCACTTCACCCATCTCCTCCAAAACCACGTTTCCTCAGGTCATGAACACCATCCATGGCGCGCATGCATGGATGCCACAAACCGCTGCCGTCCCCGGCTTGGAACCCCAAATCCGCCGCTCCGACATCACTGTGACTTCGCTAGCCTTCCTCCCCCCAGGCCGCGAAAACCTGTTTGTCACTGCTTCCGAGGCCAACGCCTGCGTGCGACTCTGGGATCTACGCACGACACATCACAATCGGCGTAACCGACCTGTTCTCCCCCTCTCCACGACCCGGGAACCCGAAAGCCACGCCAAGTACAGACGCTTTGGTCTTACCTCGATCACACTAGGCGGGGACGGCTCCCGACTTTACACACTATGCCGCGACGGCACCGTCTATACATATTCCACATCTCACCTAATCCTCGGCAATGCCCCCGAGCTATCCCTCAACAACAACCGCCCACGCCGCTCAGGCGGCTCCGACAAGGAAGGCCTCGGCCCTCTATATGGCTTCCGCCACCCTCGTCTGCAGGTGTCCTCGTTTTACGTCAAAGTCGGAGTGCGCAAAGCAGCCGGCGACAAACCCGAAATGCTAGCGGTTGGAAGCAGTGATCGATGCGCCATTCTCTTCCCCACAGACGAGAGATTCCTCTCGAATTCACCCGCCAGCTCCACCCCTCCAGAAACGGACTCACTTCCCGCCACTCCATTCTCCACTCGTTCGGGCCTCCTTCGCCGCACCAACTCAGGGGTCGGCCTGTCCGGCCGACTAGAGGACACCGTTCCTATCTATCAATCCGGCACTCCCCTAATCGAAGGCCACTCCAAGGAAGTCTCCGCCGTTTCCTGGACCGTCGACGGCGAACTCGTCACGGTCAGCGATGATTACAGTGCTCGATGCTGGCGGGAGGGCCCTGAGGCTCGGGATCTACGCACAAGTGGTGAGACTGAGGGTAAACGCTGGCGCTGCGGGTGGGCGCAAACGCAGGACTCGTATGACGACGAAGATGAATGATTCTCCTTGTTCCTCTGTTGTTCTGTCTCATTTCTTTCAGCGCTGTTCTTGCTTTTCAATTTTTTCTCCAGCTCTCGGAGTGTGCATTTTGTGGTGTTTCAGCCTATATCCATGTCTATGTTCTTTTTAGCGGGTGTTTTGTTTATGTTTTGTCTGTTCTCTTCTTGTTCTTAGAAAGCTTGTTATCAGGGCTTGTTCATGAAAGCCTGTTGTTGCAAAGCAGGGAGCAGGGAGTTCTGCTCGGATAGTCGAGGCGGCGGTAGTTGCAATCTACCGGCGATAGTGAAGCTATCGAAAATCAAAGCCAACCTTACAGATCCTGTAATTTTCTGCCTACTACAATAAAGAAGGTATCAACAGGAGGAATTCAGCACTGCGCGCCACACCAGTCTTACTCGAGGAGTTCGAATAATACAAGTCCCCAGAGCAAGTAATTTTACGCAAAGGAGTTCAGGCGATACAATAATATACTTCATATCTTGATTATACTTTTCCTCTTCCTTCATCCTAAATATCTAAGAACTCCACATGAAGAAACAGGGAAAAGATGGAATTGGGGTAGAGGGGGTAGACCAAAGCAAGCAGGACACCACCAAGCTTGATTTAGTGACCGTGTCCATCATCCTCCTTCCTCTCCGGGTCCAACTTGATCATGGTATCGATACGCATAATGGCAATGCAAGCCTCGACGGCACTCTTCAGCTGCTTGATCTTACCCATGCTAGGCTCGAGGACACCGGCCTTGAGGGTGTCGTGAACACGACCCTTGGTCAGGTCGAGACCATAGTTGCGGTAGGTCTTCTTCTTGGCGATAGCCTTCTCCTCCTCGTTGGCATCGCCGTCCTGCACACGCTGCGACAGAGCATGTCGGACACGGAGCTGGGCGACAAGCTCGGACGAGTCCTTAGCGGCGTTGACGGCCAGGGTCTTGGGGATAGTCAGGAGGGACTGGGCGAATTCACCGATGGCGAGTTGCTCGCGAGAGCCCTGTAGAGGACATGATTAGTTTCTTTATATGGCACATGTGTGAAAGTTTGGAGTGGTGGGCAACATACAACTGTGACAGCGAACTCTTCGAGGTAAATGTGAAGAGCCGTTTCGACGGCACCACCACCGGGGACAATGCTGCCGCTCTCCAACGTCCGCTTCACGGCGCAGAGGGAGTCGTGCACCGAACGCTCCATCTCATCCAGAGTGAAGTCGTTGGGGCCCCGCAGGATGATGGACGCCGAGGTGTGTACCTTGGTGCCCTTGACAAGGATGCACTCATCATCGGATATCCGCTCCTGCACAACCTCCTCTGCGTGACCCAGGTTCGAGGCCTCGAACTTCTCATCACCGTTCAAGTCTGACAGGCTGCTCACCAAGGTGGCACCAGTGGCCTTGGCGATCCGGCGAAGATCCTCCTTCTTGCAACGGCGGACGGCCATGGCACCTCTCTCCACGAAAAGCTTGAGCACCATGTCGTCAATACCCTTGGTGGTGAGGACGACATTAGCTCCGGACTTGAGGATCATCTCGACACGCTCCAGGACGATGCCGGCTTCTCTCTCGCGGATCTTCTCCAGCTGATCAGGATCATCGACTGTGATCTGAACACCAAGCTTCATCCTCTCCTTCTGCAAGTTCATGTCCAAGCAGGCAATCTTCGCATCGGTTATCCGAGTCTTCATGGCTTGGGAGGCGACAGTGCAGTTGAGGGCGTAGCCGTTGACCAGGACCGACTCCTTGCTGCTCTTTCCGTGTGCCTTCAGCAGGTTAACTGCCTTGACGGGGTACTTGACCTCGTTTCTCTGGTTGATGGTCTTGACCGCCAGCATGGCGTCAACGACCATGTTGGCAAAGAAGTCGCCATCTGCGCCGATGATCTTGCTGGACATGGAAGTCTTGGCGATGTTGACCAGGCTGTCCTTGCCCAGGGTCTCGACCTTCGTAGTGATGTTCTCATTCATATATTTGACGGCTTCTCTCAGGGCGAGTCTGTAACCGTTGATAATGGTCGTGGGGTGTATGCGGTTCTTCATCAATTCGTTGCCTCTTCGCAGGAGCTCTGCAGCAATCAAAACGACCGACGTGGTACCATCACCAACCTAGACAGTGGTCAGCGTGAATGATTCCCCTCTCCTGCACGAGACGCAGGCGAACGGCAGGACCGACCTCTTTATCCTGTTGTTGAGCCAAGTCGACGAGGATTTTTCCGGCGGGGTGCTCGATATCGAGAAGACTGAGGATAGTCGCACCGTCGTTCGTCACCGTAACATCCTAGGTAAGCGTCAGGAAGCTGTTGTTGGGTAGACGGGGTTGCGAGGGCAGACATACACCGATGTCATCCACCATCATCTTGTCCAAGCCGGAGGGGCCAAAGGAGCTCTTGACGACATTTGCGATCGCCTGCGTAGCAAGGACTGCGAGATGCAATCAACATCCATCCGTAAGCATTGAGCTTTCTTCCGAACACATACCGTTCTGCTCCCGTACATCAGCACCGGTGATTTTCTGCCCACCCAAGACTGTGCGAAGCTCGTAGTCAGTTTGAAGAGGTCCAGGGGAACGTGAAGTCGGAGGAAATGTGAAAATTAAACTCACAAAGGGTGTCCGCATTCCGCGGAGCCTCGAAGATGCCTGCCATGATTGTGAAATAGACAAGGAGATATGGAGAAGGGGTGCAAAAAGAAAGAAAGAAAAGCTCCGACAGCTGACAGGACTGCTTTTGCTTTTGCTTTTGGCTGCTTTGCTGCTGCGTTCGACTTGTTCGGGGAGAGGGCCCTTTGCGCTAAAAGTTCTGCCGGGCCCCGAGCGGTGAGAAAGCGCAAAGAGACATCCCACTTTGACTCAGAAGAGGGGCTCTTCCTTAACGCCTTTTCCCCTTCTCCGCGCTACCGCTCGACCCCATCTTCTGTCAACCTCGACTGCATTTTCGAGTTTGGTCCTTCTTTCTTCTTCTTTCCCCGCCCGAAGGCCCTCTCCTCAAACTCCAAAATGTCCAGCCAAGCCCCTGCTGACGCTGCGGTTCCCGCCGAATCGCCCGCCGCTCAAACCTTGCCCGACCGCACTCAGGCCCCCGCCGATGCCGCTGCTCCCCAGGGCGAGGTCTCCAAGAATGCTGCAAAGAAGGCCGCCAAGTTGGCCAAGTTGGCTCAAGACAAGGCCGAGAAGAAGGCTGGAAACGCTGCCAACAAGGGAATTGGAAAGCAGGAGGCCAAGAAGCCCGCCTCCAAGGCTCCTAAGAAGAAGATTGACGGTGCCGCTCTGATCGGTATCGATGTCTCCAAGGAAGAGGACTTCCCCAGCTGGTACCAGCAGGTCCTGACCAAGGGTGACATGCTCGACTACTACGATGTCTCTGGATGCTTCATCCTCAAGGTGGGTGGTCTCTAGGTTATCTTATCTGGCTCGCACCCGTGCTGATCTTGCGCCAGCCCGCTTCGTACTCTATCTGGGAGGAGATCCAGAACTGGTTCAACGGATACATTAAGAAGATGGGTGTCAAGAACTGCTCCTTCCCTCTCTTTGTCTCTGAGGATGTCTTGCAGAGGGAGAAGGACCACATCGAGGGTTTCGCGGCCGAGGTCGCCTGGGTCACTCACGCGTATGCAACTCTCCTTATCTTTGGTTATCTTTGGTCGCGTGATGGCTAACTCATTCGTCTCTATACCGCAGTGGTTCCACCCCCTTGGAGAAGAAGATCGCTATTCGTCCCACCTCTGAGACCGTCATGTACCCCTACTACGCCAAGTGGATCAGAAGTCACCGTGACCTTCCTCTCAAGCTGAACCAGTGGAACTCCGTCGTCCGTTGGGAGTTCAAGCACCCCCAGCCCTTCCTGAGAACCAGAGAGTTCCTGTGGCAGGAGGGTCACACTGCCCACCTGACCCAGGATGCGGCCCATGAGGAGGTTATGCAGATCCTCGACCTCTATGCTCGCATCTACGAGGAGCTTCTGGCCGTTCCCGTCGTCAAGGGTCAGAAGACCGAGAAGGAGAAGTTCGCCGGTGGTCTCTACACCACCACCGTCGAGGGCTACATTCCCGCCACTGGCCGTGGTATCCAGGGTGGTACCTCTCACGGTCTGGGCCAGAACTTCAGTAAGATGTTCGGCATCACCGTCGAGGATCCCTCCGCCAAGGGTGACGAGAAGAAGCCCCCCATCCACGTCTGGCAGAACTCCTGGGGTCTGTCGACCCGTACTCTGGGTGTCATGGTGATGATCCACAGTGACAACCGCGGTCTTGTCCTCCCTCCCCGCGTGGCTGAGAACCAGACCGTCATCGTCCCCGTCGGTATCACCGCCAAGACCTCGGACGAGGAGCGCAGCAAGCTCTACGCCGAGATCGACCGCCTGGTCTCCGTCCTCCAGGACGCCGGCGTCCGCGCCATCTCCGACCTCCGCGAGGGCTACTCCCCGGGCTGGAAGTTCAACGAGTGGGAGCTGCGTGGTGTGCCCCTGCGCATCGAGTTCGGTCCCGGTGAGATGGCCGGCGGCTTCGTCACCGCCGCTCGCCGTGACATCCCCGGCAAGGACGGCAAGGCGCCCATCCAGATCGCCGAGCTCGCGACCGCCGTCCCCGCTCTCCTCGAGACCATCCAGAAGGACCTGTACAACCGCGCCGACAACGAGTACCGCTCCCACCGCAAGCTCATCACCAACTGGGACGACTTCACCCCCGCCCTCAACGACAAGAACGTCTGCATCATCCCCCACTGCTTGACCGAGGAGTGCGAGGACCAGATTAAGGACATGAGCGCCCGCAAGGCCGAGGAGGACTCCGGCGAGGCCCAGGACGCCCGTGCCCCCAGCATGGGCGCCAAGTCTCTCTGTATCCCCTTCGACCAGCCCGAGGGTATCGTTCCCGGCGAGACCAAGTGCTGCAACCCCAAGTGTACCCGCCCTGCGGAGAAGTGGTGCATGTTCGGCCGTAAGTTTTCTTGTCGTCATCATCTTCGAACCATTTTCGCTAACCCAGGTCCACCTAATCTAGGCTCGTACTAAGCGCTTTTCGTCGTCGTCATACTATACAATATCAAATCACTTGCAACTGACATTTTATTTACCACTACTTCGTTTCAATCAAGAGTGGTTTCATTTTTCCATTCTGTGTGCATATCCTCATCTTCTTATCTTCGTACTATGACTGTTATGACTTTGCTTTCCTGCCATTACAGTTTTTTTTTTGTTGTGTGTCTGGAAAACCTGGGGTTGGTGGGGTTTGGGAGAGAAGGAAAAGAAAGCGTGTGATGAGGAGTTTTTTTTCTCTTTTTGAAAGAAAGAATCAAGAATTTGCTAGAAATCCCTAGCTTTACTTGCATCAGATACCTTCTCAATGGGCAGTGTGCTGTTATCTGAATTTGAGGAGTAAAAGTTGATGAGGCCTTTGTCGCCGTCACTTATTGGTAAATTGAGAAGTAGACAGATTGGGCACCGAGTGATAGACTTATAGGTACTTATTGACTACCATTGACTACTTCGCATGGAGCTCGGCTATTTATTTGATCTTTTTTGTTATTTAGGAGAGACATGATGTTGAGCGACGACAGCAGGCAGTGATAGATAGTTGCGCTGATAGACAGATAACAAAGTATAATAGGAAATTATGCATCTATACAATGAGTGTAGGTAGCAGAGGCAGTTCCTCTGTTGTAGCAGGGAGAGATGGTCCAGAAGAAAGCACGTAGCAGCAAGTCAGCTTTTGGGACAGTAAAAAGGATCATGTGCAGCACTCGTTCGTGAGAAAGACATCGTCGTGTTTCTCTTTAAGGAAGGAATGATTGGAATCGGGCGAAAGCCGTGCAAGGGGGGAAGAAGTAGTTAGTGGACATGCATGTAGATGGGTATCATGAAACAGTCTCATTTGAGAAGGACTGCCCTCCACAAGAGTGGATGGAGGGTAGTAGGTCAGACAACTTGAGTTGTCGGATCTCGGGAGCCTGGAAGAGAAGCGCTTGAAGAGAGGAGAGAGAGAAGAAAGCTAGTTCACGTTCAAGACGTTGTTGGTGGGTTTGCGCGGCCAGCTCATGATCCGGTAAGGGCTTTTGATAGTTGTGCTCTGCGCAGTGGGGACCGCCGCATGTTCGTAGTCGACGCCATGGATAATGACTTCCGGAGGCTCGAGGCTTGGTAGTTCAATAATCTCCTCGTCACTCTCGTCGTCGGAAAAGCTAGATCGGGATCCCTGTATGGAATCGGAGCCGTGGGCGCGCATGTAGAGAATGGATGGGGACGGCCTGGAGCGATCCGCCTTCTCGCACGAGAGGGACTGCGTGGACGTGGACTGGGTCGTGTTTCCAGATAAGCGAAGGGCTTTCTTCGAGGCAATGTCAGATGCAGCTTCCTCAGACCGCAGCAACAGATACATGTAGGTCATGGGCATCTCGGGTTCCTCGAGGCTGTCCTCACCCGCGACTGCTTTGCTCAAGACTTGGTCTGATGGTAACGGGGCATCGGTGTGCCTCCGTCGAATGGTCCCTTCTGACACTTGAGATATGGCTGTCGTTGGTACACTTGTCGAGATGCTCCTACGTTGTTCCGAGTTTCTTTTATGCTTTCTAAAGGAACTCTTTCGGATCAACTTGAGGAGTTGACCTTCTTTCGCATTAGGACCTCTTTCAGATCCCTTATTAGGGTATAGCGGCACGCTCAGACCTTTATCGAACGACTCCTGCGAGGGAGAGGGTGTAAGAAAGCCTTCCGTTTCGGGAAATGTCAACTGTTTGAAGGCGTCATGGGAATTGATTTCACGGATGATAGCATCTTGAAGAGTTTCAAACGTTGGGTGAGGTGTCATGACCGGCGAGGACGTATAGGCCTGTCGAAACATGTCCATAATTTCCGCAACCTTCTCAGTAGCGGGAGGTAAAGGCGAGACTGCTGTGGGTGAAGCCACCGGCAAGGGGCTGTTCATAACCTCTGCAATACTCATATGTTGTGCTGACTCAGTTGTATTGGGAGTCGGTGGCTGGATGGCACGGTGCGTTGCTCTTGAGGTGGGATTTCTTCGAGCTGCAAGCTCTGTATTGATGGAAAGATCGCGGACGTTCTTCTTAGAATGAATTCGAGAAGAGGCGGCCTGAGAATGATCCTTGGAAGTCTGGGTGACGCCGGTTGTGCCATGGGTTGACTCATCCTCGCTCAGACTCTGGTCATGGCTTATTGACATTGGGATGGTGGGACTATCTGGGAGGGGAGTAGTGCTCCATCTGCGGCCTTGCTTGTAAGCTGGAGGCACACCAAGGAAGCCATTGCTGGGTGTCGGGGGCTCTGTATCAGAAGTTGTGGGCCGTCCGGCCACTAGATTAGGTGCTGATCTCTGTGAGTGCAGAGAGCTTCTTTGGGAGCTCATTTCCGTCGGCGACTCTGGATAGTCATCGTGCGCGCAAGACGCGGTACGAGCATATAACTTGGAAGTCGATGTTGCTACACGGCCTTCCCTAGCCCGCAAGCGAGGCCGGCCTTGTGTGAAATCCTGTCCGTTTTGATCAGTTGACCGGGGAGGCAACCCCTGTGCTGATTTAGGTCGTGTACTCGTACTGCGTGTGAAAGAACGGCTGTTCCTTCCGAACACGTTTCTTGCGACATCTCCTTGTAAAGAAGTGGGACGGGGATACACCACCTTGGGAAGAAACGTTCCCTTGAGGAAAAAAGCCATGTTCCTTTCCGCGATGTCCTCATTGTAAGGAGTAATTGGCGATAAAGAAGTAGGGCACTGTATATGATATCGATGCGAAGTGAACAGTGCGTCAAGCAAGTCAACATGCCGAGGAATTTTGTCTGGCCTTGGACTCGAAGGGAGTGAGGACGGTGGTTGAGAATAAGATGTCGTAGGGCGTGCACGCATGTTGTGAGCTGGCTCAAAGGGTCTGTTCTGGGAACCGCGGGGATGTGAGGTTATCGTCGTAGAGAATGCGGCGGATTGTTGATCGCTCCCCAAAGACTTTGTCCGATTGTCTCGATCATCATGGGGCATTCCCGACGACTTCTCGGTGTGGAAAAACCGTCTGAGAGAAGCCATGATTGTGCAGAGCGATCTTCGTCAATCCTCAAGAGTTTCGTCCGACTGCGTTAATTCTCAAATCCTAGCCGATTGCATCCGAAGCGAGAGCAATGACACTTAGACTGGTAACCTAATCTCAAGTCGACTATCGTGTTCCGGTATTCGTTTTATAGTGTACCTAATCCATGCTGAAGGGTTGGGAGCAGGCTCATCATGCTTGAGAACGGAACGGGGTGGCGGGAAGAGGAACAAGGAAAAGAAACAGAAGCAAATGAGGAGAGGACAGAAGAATAAAGGATTGCCCTCTAGTGGCTGCCCGGTTCGCAGATCTCATATTTGCTCCGGTTCTACGTCAGGGGCAGAAGTGGTCCAGGTCTCAGTGATGGAGCGTGGGCGGATGGGGGCTCAGCCAACAGCCGGGAGAGAGATCTGGTGGACACATTCATACTGTAGGATTTGCATGAATCTTGATTTACAAATCTAGAACTTGCATTAGTGACGACATAGTCAAGGACACCCGTCAAAGTCCCTGAAGCCATACCTGTCAATTCGCAGTTGCCAAAGAAGACCGTTGAATCCATCCCTCTCCGGCTGTGAGCCCTAAACTTCCCTACGGTCATAACCTAAAAGCTAGAATTTCTCACCCACTTGACAGCGAGGTCATTGAAATTAGATCTGCATCCTACAGGCCTTAATGCCCGACTAGACTAGTAGGCCGAGAGTGCCATTCTTAGCACACTCCTGAGACTTGCAGTCGAAGTTTACCTTATTTAGTGACAGCAGTCAGCCTATCAGAGGTTGGGTGGATCAATTGGTGAGAGGAACCCGATTTCATGCTTTGATGGAGACCGAAAGTTCTGTCGGCTACTGTGTAGACGTTGGCTGGTTAGGGCCAGTCAGAGGCCGATAAAAGGCGCGGGATGGAGCCACGAACACCCATCAAAGAAGCGGGTCTCGAATGAAGGAACGTGCTATTGCCTATTGGACATATCGGGTAGCTGATCGTCAATAGACAACGAACGGCGCTGGCGCGGAGTGGGACTGAGTTTTCCAGCCGAGCACCAGAGTTCTTGGAATTATCCCATTGCGATACTGATTGACAGGGGCAATGTCATCGAGTGCCTGTAGGTCGCCGCCAACCAGGCTTGGAGTATTCGGAAGGAAGGAAGGAAGGAAGGAAGGAAGGAAGGAAGAATTCGATGGCAGCTGACAGGAACAGCGTGGAAGTTTGGCGTCTTGCTAGGAGTCAGACAGGTTGATCGATTCGGCACTTCACCTTGATCATGTTGATTGATGGGAGAGTTTGCGGAGGTTCTCCGTATCTGTGGAGGAAATGCACTCTCTCCAGGCCCCTTAATTGGAGGCCACGATCCAGAGTCCCAGCGATCTGAAACGCCGATCGCGATGGCACCAATCTTGATTACTCTTGATTCTCAATTGAAAGAGTAGACTAGGAATCGCAAATTCGGAGAAGGGGGAGGAGGTGGTTGAAGTGGTGTTGTGTTTGTTGATACTCTCATAGCGAGGCGGGAGCCAGACGGGTTGACAAGAGTCGAGATTAGGTAAGACCATCATAGTCCCGAGTCACTTTCAGCGAACACCAACGTTGCTCTCCCTCTCTTCACTTGCCATATCCCTCTCAGTCTTCCAATCTCCCAGTTTCGCTTTGAATTGATCCTCTTGTCTTCCTTTATGCAACTATTTCCGTCTTGATTGGATGTTATTACCATGATCCCTTCCTTTGTGGAACCATGTCAGACCATTATTGAACAGAACCCTGCCATGTGCCTCGAAAGAAGCGAGAACTATAAGCATAAATGCTTAAGGATCCTGCATAAATTGTCGCCTGCGGCCAGGCCGATGCAAATGCCCCTTTAGGCTTGGCATGACCGGGAACGGAAATCATGGATCAGGAATGCCCCCAACTTCCAAGATATGATGCCGACACACACTGCTCGACTGGGTAGCATATGGAGCAGAAAAGGCACAAAACTCCTGCATCTCTGTTACCAGTCAGCTGCTCAACGTGCTCAATCTCCTGGATCCTCATATGTTCAAGCCAAACATGGTGATCTACGCCAAAGCAAAAACTTCGATGCACATGATTGTTGGTTCACGAGTGGAATCCACGATGTACAGTACAGGTTCTTCTGCAACATGACGATCCCTTGCCACATGGAAGCTTATCGATAAGCAGCATTCTGCACTCCGTAGGCAGCAGCCAGAATCGTTTCCGGTTTCCCGCAGGGATATCGGCGCGGGAACAGTCAGCCCTAAGAACCCGGATTCCGATGATGCAGTCCTAAGATCAACCCCCGCAAGGGGGCTCCGACTGGCCCGGCTGCGTCGTGCCTATCGATAGCAGAACCTGTTGAACTATGCGGCGTATCCGGATGTCCGTTGCAGGTCGTCAAAATGAGAATCGTTCTGAACGCCACATTTCTAGGACAATCGAGCTTGAGCGCCCTGAAGGGCAGGCAGAGTCGCTCCTACCAGAAACATCCGCAGTAGCCACACGCTCATTTTGGATTGTCCTTGGTGAATGATTGGACCTCTTGTGTTTTGCGGGGAAGGAGGAAGGTAGCTTCGATGTGCAAGACGTTACATGTGGAAAAGCCGGCGGTTACTTAATGCTCGACGTCAACGAAACCCTTCCGGCGATTACCTCCTGCACTCCGCCCTCCAGCACTTCCGAATCAAGGCCCAATATTCCAATGCGTCCTACGCTCACAGGTGGAAGTGAGACATTTCTGAGACCTTCACGCCTTGAATGAGCGATCAGGTGGTTTGGGGATTTCTCTTTCTCTGACGGCACCTCCATCTTTCTCAACAATTTAATCTCACTTTGCCTGACCGATCGTACAATGAGGCCTCAGACTCTACAGTAGGTGGACAAGAAAACTGGGGCTTGGGGCACTCTTCAACTCGATTTCTCCAGCATGGAGGATCCAAAACGTGTGCAACATGGTTTCGATCCGCCTGAGGACGTTCCTCAACACACAGAGGATAAGGCTTGGGATGAAGATAAAATCTCGAAAGTCGCTAGCTCCGACCAATCTCCTCACAACAGCATCGGCGAAGGAAATGTCGACGCGGTCACCGATACCGAGAAACAGAAGATAGCCGAAGGGGCTGCGCACTTCCGAAGGTTGGGCTGGAAACGTCTGACTGTGGTGCTTGTTGTCGAGGCTATCGCTCTCGGAGTCCTTACGCTGCCCACCTCTTTTGCAATCCTCGGAATGGTGGCAGGTACGATTTGCTGTGTCGGGGTGGGCGTCGTCGCAATATATGCCAGCTACCTTGTCGGGGAAACGAAGATCGCACTTCCGAACATCCACCACTACGGGGACGTCGGGACGTTGATGCTGGGGAAATTTGGCCGAGAGCTTTTTGGGATTATGTTTGTCCTGCAGCTCATTCTCGTGACGGCCTCCTACTGCTTGACTGGCACCATCGCCTTTGATGTTCTTACCAACAATGCGACTTGCTCCATGGTTTTTGGGATTGTTTCGGCTGTGTTGCTGATGCTTTTAGCCATCATGCCGTCGTTCACCGATGCCGCTATCCTTGGATACATCGACTTCGTCTCGATTATGGCAGCTATTATTATCGCCATCATCGCCACAGGCGTCGAGGCAGCGAATTCCCCCGGGGGTCTGGCGGGCGTCAATTGGTCTGCGTGGCCCCGACCCGGCACGACCGTTGCAGATGGGTTCATCGCTGTGTCAAACATCGTGTTTGCCTACAGTTTCTCAATGTACCAGTTTTCCTTCATGGACGAGATGCACACGCCCCAGGACTACATGAAATCGATCTGGACCCTGGGCGGCATGGAAATCGTGATCTACACTCTCGTCGGCGCACTGATCTACGCCTTCGTCGGCGTAGACGTCCAGAGTCCCGCCCTGTTATCGATGAGCAGCTTGATGGCCAAAATCGCATTTGGGGTCGCGCTGCCGGTGATCTATATCTCCGGCGCTCTCAACAACACGGTCACAGCGCGATATGTTCATCTGCGCATGTACGAAAACTCCGTGGTCCGGTTCATTAACACCCCCAAGGGCTGGGTCACATGGCTGCTCGTTCTGCTGGCCATCACCGTCTCTGCGTGGGTCATCTCGGAAGTGATCCCGTTTTTCAACGACCTTCTCGCCCTCAGTTCGGCCTTGTTTGTTTCCGGGTTCGTCCTTTATATCCCGGCCATCATGTGGTTCATGTTCCTGCGCAAACGCGAAGACAATGATCGGAAGCGACTGCTGCACGACTTGTCAGCTGCGTTCTTGTTCTGCGTCGGGGTCATTGTACTGGGTGGCGGAACCTATGCAAGTATCGTTGATATTGTAAGCTATTCCTTGTTCAATGAGCTTTTTAGGTTGCCATTACTAAACAGAATTATCTAGAAACGCCAATTTGACACGGGGGCTGTAAGGGGGGTTTTCACATGTGCACCGATGGCATAAGCAATTCTGCGCAAATCTAACTCGGTGGACCTTTTGATATTTCACGGCATTGACCTCGATGTACATGACTTACGTTTTTGCACATGCACAGCTAGCAATGCGCTATACCACTGGGTGTAATATGGAGCAGAGAATCAAACCTGAATATTGTCATTTCTGCTACTCAAAATGCGAACTAGGAACCATTCAACATATTATCCAAAAGAAGGATAAATGCCATGCTACTTTACTTCTCATCCTCTAGAAAGCCTGAATAATTGGCGATGTTCCATTCCTTCACCGGCTGAGAGCTGCGGCTAGTGAGAGGGTTTATTTTTGCAGAGTGGCCACTATGTCCGTCCTGCTGCTGGTTCGAAAATTCGCACAAAATAATGAGTGCTAAGTAAGGTCGACCTATAGGCCTTAGACCTAGATGGCGTTGGCAGTGTCAGACCAGTCGGCGATACCTAGAGCCACAAATATGCAGATGAGGGGAAATCGCCTTAATCTCCCGGTCCGTCTAGTAAAGAGAACAGTAGTTGTTTGAAAAGATCACCTTGACTCTGTGAATTATCATAATATATGGACGAACGATTTCGAACCTGATTGCCAAGTAGAAACAAATCATCTGAAACTGACTAAAGCTCTAGGTATGTAGAGCACTCTGCAAATATTTCAGAATAGAGATGGATTGCCCATGTCCTGTTCCATCCTGTGTAAGTGCAGCAGCATCTTTGATTGGGTAAGTAAACAGGAGTTGTGGTATGACAATTTTGCCTCTATACTTAGTCAATAGATGTTAGTCAAACAATTCAACACTATCTAATTCTATCTCATATTCGAACCATCGTCACACGAGGGCTCAGCAAACGGTATAGTAGGCTACTGGGTACGTAGGGAGGAGCACCAACCTAAGGTCTAATTCATTACGGGAAAGTTATATTATTTCTTTCAAAGGGAATGCAGATTAGCAGTACGGTTTAGGTACTGCAACCCTCAAAGCGCTAAATCCACATTCTTGAATCAATGACGGCCTCCGGTCTACCCTCAAATCGATTGTCCAACGCCGTGGCACAAGGTATCATCATTCTATAGCCGCGCTCTGATCTCCTGCGGAGCCGGCACCGTCTCGCATTCGCCCTCGCCCGAGAAGACCTCCAATTCCTCCACAAGACTGTTCCACAGCCGGTCGGACGTCATCGGTGCCGTGCAATACGGCTCAACGCCGGTTTCCTCCACCAATCGTTCCAACTCGGGAAGCACTGCATCGGCCGCCTGGGTTTCCATCTCGCGCTGCTTCTGGCGCGTGAGGCCGCCCTTCTCCGCATACCAGGCGGAATCCTCCTTGATGATTCCGGCTTCATACAGCGCCCGTAGCTTGGGATCAATGCCCACCTCCCTAGCGGCTTCGAGTGCCATGCGAGCTCCGATAGCTTGCACCAACGGAAGAGCCAGAGGAAGAATGGCTCGGTTGAAAGCCTCGCTCCGATGCTTGCCGCCGAAAGACTTGATCAGTTCCCGCGCCTCTGCGATCAAGCCCGCTTCGTGTCTGGCTAGGACGCCGTTGGGGTCCCTGGGAGGCGGGACCTGATAACGGCCAATCAGAAGTTCGCTTGCGAGTCCTGTTTTACGAAAAAGTTAGCGTGTGTGGCTGTTTTTGCCCGGTTGCAGGAGACTAAGGTACTAAGTAGACTTACGGATGGCTAAGACCCTGACGTCGCCTTCAGCAGTTGCCACTGCACGGAACTCCAGCTGGAAGCAGTTAGCATGCATGATATCTTCTGGAGGTGGGAAATAGCTCACATCAGCTTGGATAATTTGGTTAAAATCATAGTATCCTTGCCAGCCGCAGCCCTCATTTATGAGTTTGAGGCTAGTCTGGAAGTGGTGGATTGTAAGTGCCTTGAAGGTTGTAGCGAAGGCATGGCGGACCCGTGGATCAGTATTCTTCGGGTCGCAATATTCCATTCCAGCGTAGATGAAGAACGCTTGGAGGACATGCGCTCTGGCAATGGCGTGAAGAATAGGAAGATGCTGGGTACGGAAGTTGATGACAGGCATCGGCTGCCCGTCGTGACCAAGGATATGTCGCCGGAAACTGAATTTGCTGGCGTTGTAAACAGCCATCTTGATCAATGGGATACAGCCACCAGCCAGGAAAAGTGTTCCGGGGGGCATGCGGTGGATGGTCGCTAAGAAGTTGTCACGTTCGTTGCGTGACGTCTGCAGGGCGCCCTCCTTGCCACCAAGGAGGGCGGAGAACGGTAGCTGCACGCGGTTGAAGTAGGTCAAGGCATGGTCGATCGGATTCGCACCCGGACGAGGTGGGAAGACCCTGGGTTATCACCGCGCTTGTCAGTTTCGATATATCTATGCAGGTGGCTCTGGATTAATTCGGATGCATACTTCGAGGTGATACCGGTGCACATCTTGATCCCGTCCGACATTTGCACGACAAACGGTCGGACTCCTCGATCCTCTCCTTCGACGATAAGTCGGGCTATTACGACTGCAAAAACAGGCAAGCCACTTCGAAGAGAGTTCGGTGGCATACATCTGCCATTGTTAGTCTTCAGGGTTAAAGGATGGATACAAGAGGAGCTTACTTAGCAGCAGCCGGAGACGGGGTGTGTAATTCAAAACTGCCATTGGGCAAAAGAGTTGCAGTGGTTTCGAGGTTGCGTGCATCTAGGCCATGCCCGAGCTCGGTGAGCATGAATTGTGCCCTAATTGAGGTCAATTGTATGCCCAGGACTAGAGGTGCAGAGAACGCACGAGATATCAAACTTCATTGCCTGGTGTATAACCCACGCCAACTCTGGCTGCGTGGCAGCGAAAGGAGCAACTGTGCCAACAAAGAGATTATACTGGACGCTAACCAGGTTGATTGCACCACCGTCCATAGCCGTGAGCAGGTCGATGTGAAGCTTCCAAAATCTTGGAGTCGTGTTCACCACATCATCCAAGGTCAAGTCTGTTCCGTTTGAATTAGTCCCTTGTCCATGAAGTGACAACTGCAGCGGTGGTATTACTGTATGCATGTGCTAAGGCCCTTGCTCTTTGATATGTGAGTCGCGTCCGCTCCTCGAGGGTCCACGAAAGTGGTGCCGGCTTCATCAGGGCCGATTGCGCCAATTCCAGAGTCGGCCCAGGCTTGAGCCATATTTGCTCGTAGAGCGCACGACACTCTGATGCCATTGTGGAAGTGGTATATTAGAAGATGTCGTTTGAATTTCCCGAGATGAGGAGAATGACAATCCGCCCAGGACCCATCGTCACAACGAAGGGACATCTTGTATCTATACTGCGCTCGATTTGCCTGGCGGGCCAGAATTTAGGGGCTGAGCTGAACAAAGTCCACAGTGAGGACTTACTAGCCAAGTTGATAAGAGATGATAGGCGATTACCGAACGGTCGGGCGATACTAGCGACGCCACGCTCCTGGATAACGAATAGAATGTTGCCATGCACTCCGCGAACATCCTGACAGCTCAAAAAAGGGGAGAACGCACAACGGTCTCGTATCGGGCTGAATTCCATTGGGACCAACCTGGATTCGACCCGCCAGCCTGGGCCTGCCTGAACTGCTGCCACATCTTGGGAGTTCGGCGTTGAGCGAGAAACTGGGCGAATACGGGGCTTTGGACCAGCGTGGCTGGGCCGGACAAAGTTCCAGGCCAGAATGAAGGAGCTGAATCAACCTTCAATTCAGCTACAGCAACCCACGGAGAGACAAAGACGAAGGATCCCTAGCAAACCGCATCTTGTTCAAAACAGTGATAGAAATTCTCAATGCTCAGGCAGTAGAGGAATCACCGTCAAAGTACTCCGTACAGACCGTACAGTCGAGTGATTCGAGTCAGTACTGTAGTACGTAATTTAGGCAGTACTCCGGAGTAGACAGTGGGCTCTAGGCTAGATCTCCGTTGAGAATCGACTAAGAACTTTCTTCGGATTAGTCTCATCCTTAGGCTCACGGCGGTAAGACCCGGAAAGAACTCCTCGCTTGGAGAGACAGGCAGAGTTGATACACATACATCCTGAGATCAGCCACCAGAAAAAGAAAAAGAAAAAGAAAAAGAAATCATCAGTATACCGCTATATGTGTGTATACTTGGTTATTCTTACTGCGTGGCGCCTGCCTGTTTGCTTTCTTAATGCCTGAATCCCACGTGTTTGTTTCTGTTCCCCACATGTTCCCATTCCCGAAAGACCTTTTGGGTACTCCGTATGGTGCGATCAGTACCTATACACACTTCGGCTATACACAGTACAGTGTAGTACTCACTCTCGCTTCTCGCAGTGCTAAAATTCTAAGAATAGCTGACATGAAAAAAAGCCTGTTGACATGTTTAGCAGGCACGCCGCGCACGAACCTTGTATGGCATGATTCCTCAGCCACTACCATTGATGTACTGTACGAATACAGTATCTCACTTGAGCAAATCTATACGTGCCCCGATAAGAGACATTTTTATACACTTGATAATTTCTTTGTCTCGCCGAACAGATAGCTGTAACGCTCTTTTGTGCTCCACCCCACCGCTCAAGTCGGGCCTAGAGCAGAAAGGATACTCATTCAAGTTGCTCGCTGCAGATACCGTTCCCAGGTGTTGTCTACAGTAAACAACTTCTGCCAAGTCAAGTGACTAACATGGACTTACGTATAGCTTCGACATCTCTCTCAATAATTGGAGCTAAAATCCCCAGTGCAGTAAGTGCTTTCCTGCATCTATGCGGCGTGGAAGCATGCCCCCAAGTACCTTTCTATATTGTCTTCGAGATGCGGCTATCCCGAAAGCGGTGCAGATGATGATGGTCGAAGAGACGGCAAAAGGCTATGCTTTTAAGACAGAGACTGTTGACGCGTCTCAAAGTCCTTTTTACAGTCAGCCTGAGGGCTTGAGCGCTGCGATACGACATGCTGCTGGTGAAAATCTTTGATTAGCACCTGGTCTTTATCTTTTATGTAAACCTAACGATCCATCGACAGAGCATGGCAACCTTCAATTACTGGGGGTTGATAGAGCTGTCTCGCTATCCATTTTCTAACTCGATGACGAATGCTCAACCATATGAGCTCAGTGTGTTGCCCACAGAAACTATGACACGGCAGGGCTGAATGCATATCAACTGCCAAGTAAAAGAGAAGCATCTCACTCCACAGCCCCCTCCTTCACCTTATCAATACCATTCTCTTCAGTAGCAGCAGAATCCCCAGCTTTTCCAACCCCCTTGACCTGCATATTACCCCCATGATCCTCGTCCGAGTAGATAGCACAAGCCTCCCCCTGCGACCCACCACCCGATATCCCGACCTTCACCAGCGACGAATCCGAAGACCAACACGACACCCTCTCCTGAGACCCCATCACCTTCAACTCTCGCTCCTTGATCTCAGAATCATCATCACCACTCTTGATCTCTCCCGACTTGTCCCCTCGACCCCCAGCATAGAACACAAAACTCTTCCTCCGACCACCACGAGTCCCATCAACCCAATCATCCTCATCAACGTCCCCATCAGACCCCGCAGAGGACGAATCCGAAAACAAGACCGACCCCGCATCTTGAACAATCTTTGTGGACTTCTTCTTTCTCTCTCTCTTCAGCCGTGACTGTTGTTGTTCCTTTGGCTTTCCATCAGAGCGAGGTTCGTCTTCTCCGGCAGCGGTAGCGGTAGCTGCAGCACTGACAACCTTCTTCAAGGATCCCTCTGCACTCTTATCGCCGTCACCACCACTCTGAGCCTCGGCAACCCGCATGTCCCTATAACTAAACCCCCCCGCCTCGATCTTCAGGTCGAGCTCCTGCCTCAGGCGGTACCATTTCAGCCGGGCGGCGGACTGGGTTATACCGGTTGCTTCGGCGACGGCGGGCCAGTTGATCTATGGTTTAAGAGTACTTGTTAGCATCTCGTAAGAGATAGTCTTGCCGTGCCAGTGAGAGGGGGAATGAGTGAGGGATTTGGAGAGGATGAGGGAATGTGCAGTAAATCGCGTGCTCTGATACGCGCGGTAGCTTAGATCGATCAAGGCGTTGGCAGCCGGGAGGTTGTAGGTTGAGCAACGGTTATTGATGGGAAGTGAGGCGAGGTGAGAATAATACTCACGGTTCTAGAGTCTGCATTCAACAATATCACGTAGAGGAGGAGGACGTCGGCCTCATGGGTGCGTTTGAGGTCAGGCATGGTCTTGTTCAACGAGTGTTTGAAGCGTATGTAGTGTATGATCGGGGTCGGGGAGATAGGGCGGAGTAGATTAGTGGTGTGTAGGTGATTTGGAGATGGAGAGAGGTGCGGTTGGTTTCTAAGATGATGAGGCGCGGAGAAGGAGTTGAAGTAGGAGAAGACGGACACGTCTAGTTGATGGAAAATTGAGCGTTTAGAGGAAGGCTGGGTATGAGGGTAGAGGAAGGTGTGGACTTTCTTCAAATAAATTCACGGTGTCTGTGTTTATGCGCTGAGGCAGTAGCTTGTGAATCCAGAGGAAGTGATATTGTTGGCTCAGGCATCTAACGAACGGCAAGATGCAGGTGGTCTACACAATGGATTATTTCTATTGATACCTAAAGGGAAGCAAACAGCGACTGAAAGCGTATGCATTTCATGCTAGGTGGGGAAACTAGAAAGGATATATCGTATCAAGGGCAAATAGCAAGGCGTTACTTTTTCTTGTATTTCATTAACGCTCCTGACTCCTCATTATGAGTCGCTGCTCGGCAATCCAGCGTACCGCTCAGCCGACTCCCGGACTGCTTCCACAAGAACCGTATGCGCTCCGCGCGCTGCGTTGACCGCACCGTCGATCAAAGCTTCATGGCCCAAACTGCTGTCATCCACCCCCAAAGAAGCCTTGGAGTGATCGCCCTTGAGCCAGATCTCAGTGATCTCGTCTCGCGCAGGCATGTAAGCGACCACGCACGCCGACAGGATGGACTTGTGCTCGGCCGGATCCGTATCCAGCATCAACTTCGGCGTCGATGAGCTCCCTTCTTCGGCAACCGCGTCGTCCGAGACGATAGCAGCCACGCCTCCAGCCACGAGGTCCAGGCAGTCAATCCGCGCGTCCGCAATGGCTGCGGATGCCGCGGTGATACACCCGGCCAGGACATTCATCATGCCCCACGGCGCATCGTGCGAGTCTGGTGCATCCCCCCACCACCGGTCATCTTCGGCCTCGAGGATTGTAATTGTAATGTCCAGGCCGCTCTTCGGCCACCGTTCCGCGACAATCACGCCTCGAAGCGCAGTCTCGAGGTGAACGCCCAGGTCACGTTCGCTGGCATCCCGAATGTGGCCCTTCCGTTGACGGGCGGCGAATGGCGCGTATTTGACGTGGGTAGTAAGAACGAGGTTTGGCGAGAAGGTCGCCGACCGGGGAAGAGGCTTCGGTCCATGAACGGTGCATGCAAGCTTCAAGGCCGAGGAAGGAGGGATCAGGGACTGAGGAGAGGACCGAGCTGCAGCGAGGGAGGCAGATGGTTCGTATTCAAGGTATGCGGAGCCGGAAGCCGAAGGGATCAATCCCGTCTTGAGGACTAGTCGACAGATTAGCTTCCTGTTCGCGAACTCGTGGGAAGAGAGGAAGCTCTTACAGATCTTGCGCAACTCATTTGGTTGTCTATGACGGCGAGGTCTTTCTGTGGCATCACCGGAGGCGGATTTGAGAGAGGAGGCGAAAACCGCAGGCCTCGTGCCGCTAGGCGGCCCATTAATTCTTCGTCTGTCAGTCATTACACATGTCTTTGCATCCCTGCGATCAATTACAACAAGTGATCGGAGGAAAAGCAGCGGAGGGAGGGGCAGATAATAATGATGGGGGTTGATAAAGCGATCCGATAGCTGGCGGTCGAACTGCCCGCAAAGCTACATCCATTTTTGAGAAGGGTTTGCATGGTTTGCATGGGTGGGATCGCGGAAGCTCGGCGCCTTTTTTTTCCCCCTCGTGGGTTTTTCTTCGGCTTTTCGCTTCGCGCTTTCTTTCTCCTTCTCTTCCTTCTCTCTTCCCCACAACACAATGATTGTTGTGATTTCGACAGCTCAAGCTCTTCAAATGCGAAGCAAAGCATGATGCGTCATCTTTCGAACACCATACTGGCCACTAACCTGTAAACTGTGAGTATATCTTATTCCACAACCCAACCAAGCATCACTTGCATGATGAAAGCGATCCAAAAAATCGAAGTTCTGGCGACCT